CCCCAGGGGAGGATGGCTTTAGTTTAGGGGCCCCCAGGGGAGGACGGCGTTGGGCTGGGGGGCCGCAGGGGAGGACGGCGTTAGGCTAGGGGGCCGCAGGGGAGGACGGCGTTGGGCTGGGGGGCCGCAGGGGAGGACGGCGTTAGGCTAGGCGGGGCCGCAAGGGAGGACGGCGTTAGGCTAGGGGGCCGCTGGGGAGGACGGCGTTAGGCTAGGGGGCCGCAGGGGAGGACGGCGTTCGGCTGGGGGGCCGCAGGGGAGGACGGTGTTAGGCTAGGCGGGGCCGCAGGGGAGGATGGCGTTAGGCTAGGCGGGGCCGCAGGGGAGGACGGCGTTAGGCTAGGCGGGGCCGCAGGGGAGGACGGCGTTAGGCTAGGGGGCCGCAGGGGAGGACGGCGTTAGGCTAGGCGGGGCCGCAGGGGAGGACGGCGTTAGGCTAGGGGGCCGCAGGGGAGGACGGTGTTCGGCTAGGGGGCCGCAGGGAAGGACGGCGTTGGGCTGGGGGGCCGCAGGGGAGGACGGCGTTAGGCTAGGCGGGGCCGCAGTGGAGGACGGCGTTGGGCTAGGGGTCCGCAGGGGAGGACGGCGTTAGGCTAGGCGGGGCCGCAAGGGAGGACGGCGTTCGGCTAGGGGGCCGCTGGGGAGGACGGCGTTCGGCTAGGGGGCCGCAGGGGAGGACGGCGTTAGGCTAGGCGGGGCCGCAGGGGAGGACGGCGTTAGGCTAGGGGGCCGCAGGGGAGGACGGCATTGGGCTAGGGGGGCCGTAAGGGAGGACGGCGTTGGGCTGGGGGGCCGCAGGGGAGGACAGCGTTGGGCAAGGCGGGGCCGCAGGGGAGGGTGGCATTGGGCTAGGGGGGCCGCAGGGGAGGACGGCGTTAGGCTAGGCGGGGCCGCAGGGGAGGACGGTGTTGGGCTGGGGGGCCGCAGGGGAGGACGGCGTTAGGCTAGGCGGGGCCGCAGGGGAGGACGGCGTTAGGCTAGGCGGGGCCGCAGGGGAGGACGGCGTTAGGCTAGGGGGCCGCAGGGGAGGACGGCGTTAGGCTAGGCGGGGCCGCAGGGGAGGACGGCGTTAGGCTAGGCGGGGCCGCAGGGGAGGACGGCGTTGGGCTAGGGGGCCGCAGGGGAGGACGGCGTTGGGCTAGGGGGGCCGCAGGGGAGGACGGCGTTGGGCTGGGGGGCCGCAGGGGAGGACGGCGTTAGGCTAAGGGGCCGCAGGAGAGGACGGCGTTAGGCTAGGGGGCCGCAGGGGAGGACGGCGTTGGGCTAGGGGGGCCGCAGGGGAGGACGGCGTTGGGCTAGGGTGCCGCAGGGGAGGATGGCGTTAGGCTAGGGGGCCGCAGGGGAGGACGGCGTTGGGCTGGGGGGCCGCAGGGGAGGACGGCGTTAGGCTAGGGGGCCGCAGGGGAGGACGGCGTTGGGCTGGGGGGCCGCAGGGGAGGACGGCGTTAGGCTAGGCGGGGCCGCAAGGGAGGAC